AATGAAGACCAAGGCGAAGTGCAAACTTGGGACATCGTTTCTGGCCCGTTGGCGTTGGCCGGCCAGATCTATATACACAAAACTGGAGATGTATAGAGGCAAGCAGAAGGGGGGTTAGAGCTCACCAACAAGAGCTCTGGGTCGAGCTCTGGCTCCAGCTCTGACTCGGACAACGGAAGAGCAAAGAAAACAAAAGACTTTGGCAACGAACTCGATCTGAGCGGCCCGAGGCCGGCATCTTTGGATATAATTATCGCCCTGTCCATATTGTTCTAACGTGAAAGTAAAAACCGTTAAGAATTAATATCTATTTGGCCAAAATGCTGTGCTGTTCTCTGTGCAAAACGCGAACAACAAAGCAAATGAATGAAAAAACGACAAATATAAAAATAAACTTTTTCTTTTACTGGGTCAGCTCTATGGTTGTTGGTTCTGTTTCTCTTTCTGTCGCAGTCGCAGTCTCAGTTTCTGTCTGAGTTATTTGCCTTTTCTTTTCTGTTTCGTATTTCTTTTGTTTGATTTGTTTTTCCTCCATTCCACTCGCAAAAAGCGTAAACAATGAGGGGCAAACAAGAGGGTTGCTATATCTCAAATACTAGTAGAACCTCCGCCCTCCCGGCCATATACCAGTAAATATTTGACGATTTATGACGATTATCAATATGAAAGTGACACACGACCCATACAGTCCGATCCCAGCCCAGCCCCGCAGCCGCACTGAGTTCACTCACACAGCAAAAATAAAAACCCAGCCAAACCGCTCCCAACTCAAATCCAAATTCAGACATGAAAGAAAGTGAAGAATCTCAAGTTAAAAATCCATTGGGAAGGCTAGATTCCCTCATTCATATTGGAATATAGATTAAATATTAAAGAGTTACCGATGTTTGGTCAATCAATCAAATAAACCATTTTTTAGATATTTTGTTTTTTTTTTTGACTAGAGCTTAGCTGGTTATTAATCTTTATTCCTAACTAATGATTATATTATATATTAATATATTCTCTAATTATATTAAATATATGCTCAAAATATTATAGAATAAACTTCCCATGGGCAGCATTTAGTGGGAATCGAAGACAAGTACTTTTGTGATGACTGTTCTTCGATGTTCATTTCAAAATATTATTCCAGAAGACAGAATTCCAATTGAACAATGCGTAACTAGGTAAAGTGTGGCAAAACTAGTAAGAAAGTCCATAAGCCTAACAAGCTAAAATTCCATTTAAAATGAATGGAAAAATAATGCTAATCAATTTGCGTATAGAAGAGGCGTCAAATAAAATCTGGTGGGTGACGCGATGGCCATGGCGATGGCGATAGTGAGTCATGTTAGACAAATAATGATTGTTCCCAATCCAGAAAGAGGCAGAAAGAGAGCAAAAAAGAGACAGAAACGGACTGGTTACAATTTGTTCTGCAATCATGTTCCGTTTCTATTGCTATTCCTGTTCCACACTGTTCTATTATGCTCTGTTCTGTGCTCTGGGGTGGTCGCCAATGGATCGTATAGTTTTGTATAATATCAATCATAATCAATGACAAATTCTGTTATTAATTTTGAGTGTTTCAGCGTTTCAGATCGATATATGTAGATACCCGAGGTATTCGAGATACCCGACTTGGGGCTGCTGGAAAGAGAGTTCTGTTCGGTCGCGATAATTATCACTCGTGCCTGGTCATTATATTCATTATGATTATGGTGACTATTATTGGCCAGGCAGAAACAGCGACAACAGTAGAACACCGTGTAAAACTGTAAAAATGAGTCATAACTAGATCAGAGAGCGATTCGAGAGAGGAGTACCAGAACTGTAAGATGATCAGGGGATATTTATCGCAGATTACAGAAACCTGAAGAGGATCTACCCTCTAATATTAAAAGTACCTTATACATGGCATTTCATTGACCTCAATGTACAATCAATGGAATGGTGGAATGCTAGAATTGTTCGTAATCTTACTTATTGATTGCTGGATTAAGTTTGTAGGCAATCACGAAGGCATCTAAATGATTTTGTGGTACCCGAAAGACCTTTTCTTTACCTTTGCTCGATCCCAACAGTGCGATCCTCATAACACTACTACATTACTAGGATCTTTATAATCAGTAATTGTCAGTCTACATGCATGTGTAAACAAGTTATACCTCCGAAATAGCTCTTCCACTGCTTTTCCACCTTTTAAAATGAGTGCTAAAAACTTGATCCCTGGTTGAAAGATGTGGACCAAGCAAAGGAGCTAAATAGAAGAAAACATTAACCAAGGTGAATCAGTCAGTGGTCGGAATGAAGATGTACATATAAGATCAGGCTAAGGATATATATATATATCTTGGATCATTCTATTTGCTGTTTGCTGTATGGTAGGTACCATACTGAGGTAGGCCAGACCACCATAAGGTCGAGTTGATCGCTCTCTGTTGTCAAGTCCCATTGCCATTTGGCCCTATCATCCCCATGCTAGCCATGTAGCAGTCTTGGCAATCTATTTGGAATTCCATTTAGGCCAAAAATGCAATATGGCACACAACTTCTCGGCTGACAGACCAGGCAACAATTGACCGATTTCCATCCTCATCCTCATCCGCTCTTCCTCCCAGACTTGCAGCTCGGTCTCCAACTCGAACTTCCAAGCCACACTTGGGACTGGTCTGGACCAGGGTTTTGCCTATTCCACCATTCAACTGATAACTGAATGAGACGTTGGCCAACACCAACATGAACAGCAATAGCAGCAGAAGCAGCAGCAGCAGCAGCATCAACAACAACTTGGTCGGTTGCTCCTAGTAGTCACTGACCTAGAATGCAGCTTCGGCCTCAGCTCTTACTTCAGCCTCAGACTTAGCTGCAGCATCAGCTTTGGCTTTGGCTTTGGCTTTTACTGTTGTGTTGTCTCTGACGTTCCGTTGCTGCTCTGCAAGCTGTCGCCGTTGTTGCTGCTATTGTTCATGTTATCATACCCTTGCAGTGGGTACCTAACATATCTAGGTACATATTGGAGAGGAACATTTATACACAACATACTCTGGGAATAAATGCCTACAATATATAAAATATATGTAGATATCTACCTAGTTTAATTTTCAAGAGTGTTTCAAACTTCGGTATTCTCATCCAGCCTTTCCTTCTATTCTTGTTGTTGCTGTTCAGTTCTATTCTCTGTTTGTGTGTCGACTTCGGCAGCGGCGAAGACTTCGGTTACCAACACGGTTTGCTGAAGCAAAGTCACGGCAACGGCGGCAGCCCCAACTTATTAGCATAATCTCAGGCATCCCAGCCGCAGCTCTGGCCAGAGCGTCTGCTGGGTCTCTCTAGAGCTGAAGCCAGAGATAGAGCTGGAGCTGGAGCTGGAGCTGGCGCTGAAGCTATAGCTGGGACTAAAGCTCCAACTGAGTCTGAGTCTAAGTCTGAGTCTGAGTCTGATTCTGACTGGCACCTCATCATCGGCGGCATCAATTCGCCTTTTGCTGCCTCGTCGGTTGGCGTGTGAATGCGGACTATAGGACACTGAGAGAATCACCCAGAGGGGTGCTTAGTGGTGCGATGTCTCGACTTTGGCCGGTGCATTTCTGTCAGTGTAGTGGGGCATGTTGCATGTTGCATGTTTGGAATTCCTCGGCTAGCGGTGCAGCCATCTTCGTCGCACCAGGCCAACAAAATAAGAAGCAGCTTGGGCTGGGATTCTTGTCCCTCCGCCTCTACCAAAGCCTATAAGTCTCTCTTTGTATTTGGCATAATTTCTGACTTTTATGCCTTTTAGACTACGGAGACGGAGTTGGAGATGGCTGCATCCCCGTCTCCGTCTCCGTGTGCGCAGTGCTGCTGTGTCTCTGCTGTGTAACGGCATTTATAACCATTTCATTAGATTTTGATTTGAAACTCAAATTTTTCTGCGATTTTGTCTCGATAGCTCTTTGTCTGCCCCGCTGGCTCTTCTTTCTTTCTCTGCCATGTTTAGTCAGCTAATATCGAATGAGGGCGGCCTCGGTTGATGTCTCTCTCTCTTTCTCTCTCTTTTTCTCTGTCTCTATCTTTCTGTTTTCTATTTGCCAATTCTCGACTAATTTCGAGTGCAAACAAATCTGGATTGGGATCACCGACGATGACGATGACTCTCCAACTCTATTGATTTCAGGTGAGCTGCTCAGTGGGACCCATGTGGGAAGCCGAAGCCGCCCAAGTGCAAGACTAAGAGGAGATTTGATTTCTGGGCGATCTAGTTAAAAAAGTGCTGGAATGGAAATGGGAGCACTGGGCTGGATTTCCTTTAATGAAAACTAGATCGTTGATGATCATTTCATTGAATGATATTGGAGATATCTTAAGGGATCTCAGGCGTCTTTGGATGAATCTTAATTATATCAATTACATAATTATGAATTATATTATAGGAAGAGTTAGACGAACAAGTGGCTGAGAAGAGGGGGGTATGAGTTAGAGAAAGAGGAAGAAGAAGAAGAGTACAGAGGCTGTACTAAAAACTATTTCTAATAATATTACACTAATGACAGTACCAATGGTATCCACTTTTTATTTTATTTGTTTCCAATTTTATCATCCATTTCAGTATCAATGCAAAATTATGATGTGTACAGGTAATTATTTGTACTTATCTTCCTAAGCAACTAGTTTTGGAGGTGATTTTAACTAGACTTTCTAAGGCGTCTGAGGATAATTTCCATTAAAAAAAATGTGTAAATTCTCAGTAGATTCTACAGAGTACTAATAGCCATGCCCGTCTGCCTGCCCGGCCCGGTTGACGTCTGAAGAAGCGCTATAGCAATCGGATTTTCTGTCCAGACAGAGGCAATAGCAAACTGTGAAATAATTGTCAATTATGCAAACTGATCACATGGCCAAAACTTAGCCTATGAAGGGTCGCACGAAGGACAATCTTTGCTCGCTGCCACTTTTTAAAAGTATGTACATAAAATGTTTCAGATAAAACGGAGTAAAACGAATGAATGGGAGCACCGAGTATAAATGAAAGAATATCAGATTAAAAAATATAATTAAATGATAGACATATGTATGTGCATATGTATCAAAGGCTTGGTGTGTGCTGCTCAATCTATTCTAAGCAGAAAAACTCTCTCCAGCTCCATGATCTTGTGAACAGCGAGGACTATCTGGACGCTCTCCGTGCTGCTCACCAAGCCATCTCCAGTTTGACCATCCTCTGCTTCTCCCAATTCATTCAGTATTGAAAATTGCGGAAATTCCCCTCCAGTTCCGCCAACTTGTGAGCCAGGAGGACTAATAGAGAGTTCTCCATGCTGGACAGGTACACTCTCCTCAGGCCTAGCAGCCTGTGCTGCTACTAGTCCATTCTGAACGGCAACTTCATCTTCAGTTCCATCAATCTAATAAGCCAAGAGGATTATCAATAGGTTCTAAGTTTTGGACAGGTACAGTCTCTGCAGTGCCACCGACCTGTGCCTCTCCCAATACATTCAGTTCGGGAAATCGCGGGAATTCCCCTCCAGAAGCAGCTCTATGCTCCAAACTCTCCTCAGGTCTAGCAGCCTGTGCTGCTAATAATCCATTCTGAACGGCAACTTCATCTTCAATTCCCTCAATCTGTGAATCGGGAGACTTAACCATATGCTCTCCGATCTGGGCAGTGGAGCCCTCTGCAGCACTACTTCTTTCTACTAACCTGAGCTCCTGGTAGTCCATTCGGTACATGTTCATCGGGCTCAGCGTCGATCAGTATATTGCACACATTGAGGGCCAGCTCCATCTGATTGTCGACACTCTCGACATAGGGCTCATCGTGAATTTGCCGAAGAGTATCGATCAAAGAGTTTGCGGTGTCCACGATCTGGCGGTTCAATTGCAAAATACGGTGCAGACTCTGTCTGTTCAGATCCCCGGCTGGTGGCACGATCTGAAGCAGGGCATCTTGCTCGGTTCGCATGTTCTGGGCGTTCTCCTTCATGGCCTCCAGTAGAATCGTTCTGGGGTCCATGCTGCTCTTGCTACTTTCCACTTGTGTCTGGTTGTGTTTCTGAGAGGTTTCTGAATCGGATATGGTATCCTGGACAGAGGGTTAGCTCAATGCCTACCCGATTCGGTCTGCTCGGAATTCCACCATAATCACAAGATCGATTGATGAACCCCCCCACGATAGAGGCCTCAGTCAACATTCAATGCAAGAGCTTCTTCGGATTTCGGTAGATGGCGGGGCGTCGGGGTCGGGGTCTGGGACTTTTACCCATCTGCCATTCAAGCTTCCGTACAAAAACCAAACAAAAAAATTTCTCTGGCCAATGAAAACGAAATTAATTTCACAATTGCGGCAATTAAACGCAAAATAAATTGTGTCTTAAGGTACAGTAAGCTCCCCTTCCACTGACATGTGGCCGGCATAGCCATACCTATGTTTCCCAAAAAAAAGCCCCAAAAGAAGCGGAGAAATAGAAGTAATGATCTACGCACTTTTTATTACAACTGTCCGCTGTCCGCTGTCCCCTGTCCCCTGTCCGCTGTCCCCTGTCCGCTGTCCCCTGTCCATTCTCTGCTGTCCGCTGGCTGTGCGTGTGTGTGTCCCAGCCTTTGGAACTTCTTCTTTTGAGGCTTCTGTTGTCAACTTGTAGTCTTTATTATCTACCCTTACGCCTGTTCGCTGGTCCATGGACTTGTGCGTGCATCTCGCTGAGAGACACATGCCAGGATCTTGATAGTGGATGCTCCCCAGCCATTAAATGTACTCGTTACTAGTACACACATAAGATAGCCTTTACAGCCAATTGAGATGTGCAATTAAGTGAGAAATGTTCCATGAAATCCATTAGATTATTGCATTATACATACATACATACATACATATAATCAAATATGAATCGAGGCCATATCTAGGGGTTTCTGTATCGAATTTTAGATAACCAAAGCGAACCATTGACGCACAACCAACGAGAGGCATGTTTTCGGCTGAGTTACCTATAAGACACAACAAGTGCAATATCACAGAGCCCGTGGCATGTAGCCAACCAGCCACTCGGCCCTCTGGCAAGGCATACAGACTTCGTTATTGTCAGATAGGGGAAACGCTCTGTTTCTGGTTGCTGCAAGTAAAATTGCTTGCTTTTGATGTGCCTCAGCCACATTGTAGATTTAGTGGCATTGAAAGAAATTTCACTTTGAAGAAAAGGCACACGCCGTACCGCTTCCGACTTGGTTGGTCGTGGACTCTCCAGTTGGAATCCAACTCGAAGATCGAGCTGCATTTGGATTTTGTTGCTGTTGCTGTCGCTTCTCTTCTCTTCGCTTCTCTTCTCTTCTCTGTTTTTTTTCTATTATGTCTTTTTTTTTTTGGACTTTTCCGCTTTTTAACAATTATTTCTTTCTTAATTTTGTGTTTGTGTTAACTTGATTTTATTTTAATGTCTGCTCCACACACAAAGACTGGCCGTTCGCGTTGCATCTAGCCATCTTTTTGGATGGGCCCGTCTGGGGCCCCGAGACTGCTTTCTTGTTATGGTCATCGTCGCCTCCATTCAACGGAGTCGCTTGAATCTAATGGGTTTTACTTTCATTGCGGCCGAGTGCCGAAAATAACTTCTTGGTCCCCAGCTGATTTCTCCTGATTTCGATACGAAAAGACCAAGAGATATACATATGTACATATATACATACATAGGTAACCCTCAGCCCCGACTGAGAGTCAGCTTTAAGGTCGGGATTTTGATTTATGAATTTGGGAACTCAATTGGAGCGCTCACACCCCCACCCGCCACATGGGGCTCGGCTCCTATTGAATGGGTGAATGGGTGAAAGTGCTAATCCAGAGACAAGACTGATCGAGAAATATTCATTATGCAAATGAGGGGAATGGAATCGAAAGAAGTTCTCTTTCAGTTCCACAATTGAAGAACAGAACGAACCAAAAAAATATCCGTTTAGTTCAACTTAGTTTATCCAATTTCTGGGCCACCAGCCACCAGCCCCCCCACCCGACTAAATCATTTTTGCCATGTAATGGCTTCTAAGTAATGCTCTAACTCCGAATGGAGCTCCGGTTCTGGTTCTGATTCTGATTCTGTTTCTGATTTTGGTCACCGGAAGCGCGAGAATAACAAAAACAAAGACAGACAGACAGACAGACAGACAGACAGACAGACAGGCAGGCAGGCAGAGAGGCAGACAGACAGAGGAATGGAAAAACAAAAGACGAGCAGCAATAAATCCAAAGAGCGCGAAGAAAGTGAGAACAGTTATGTAGTGTAACTGATGCCGTTAGATGTGGAGACTCTGATTTAGATTGAGAACCGAAATCCCCACACAACCGCCGCATAGAAAAGAACAAAAGAACGACAGACGGACAGAACGACAGACTGACAGACCGAAAAACAAAGCAAATACCAAGGCAACCGTATAAATCTCTTGGAGATCTGTTTTGGGGCTGGCGAGAAACTTTCTTTCCCAAAAGGAAATGTCGGAAAACGATTCTGATAACGGGTCGCCAGCTCTCTTCAAATGCATTTGACGCCATCGGGCTCGGGCTCAGGCTCAGGCTGAGGCTGAGGCTCAGGATCGGACCTGAGAGAGCATCTCGGTCTTGGTGTAGGTCTAGCGTTTTGGTAAACGCTTTCGACTCTGGCTGAGAAAAATAGTTTTCGATTTTCGTTATGGTTTCCGTTTCTCTGTGCCCAAAGGCCTTAGTGGATGCGAGGAACCATTATGCTGGGGAAGATTTGTTTTCCAGACATTCCGTGGAACTCTGTCCAGCGATGTACTCCACATCCCAGGGAATATCAGTGCCAACAGATCAGGCATTCACTCGACCCTAAACGGCTGACCAATGGCAGTCCCTTTTAAGTTAGAGACCCTTCAGCTGCCATCAGCGAGAGTAAAAGTAGGTACACATGGACATCTGTCCATCTGTACATATCCTCATGGTAACGGCGATGATCATTTCTACTCTCTTTACTGGGTATCGTCTTGGACGTTACACCCACTAGAAATCAGCCGAAACTTGTTGTTCTTCTGTTTCCCAGCTTCTTCGTCGGCTTCTACTTCAATGCTCGATTGATGGCTGACGGGCTCACGTCATCGGCTCACGTTTTTTGCATGATTTGACTGGATTCCGTTAAATGCATTTTCCCAACGTCCCGTTTCACCCACTTCCACCCGGCCACCCAACCACTCGGCCACAGAATGAGTAATGGGCACACAGATGGAAGACACAGTCTGAGGAGGAGTCTGGGGAGTCTGGGGAGCCTGGGGAGCCTGGGGAGCCTGGGGAGCGAAGGAGCAACAAAGATGGTCAGCATCTATCGAAAGAAAGTGATTTCTGGTAATTGTTTCGGGCCTGGCTGAGCATGGGGCTGGGGATGGGGACGGACCCATGGATCTGGGAAGCCATGGGACAACCGCTACAGTGGTTCAGTGAAAGCCACCGCAGGGCTGCACGACTGACCGGTGGCCCAGGGCCTGGCAATGTTCTAGAGTCCGGCCTCGGCTCCGGCTCTGCTCCATTTGGGAAAGTGTACCCAAGTCAGCTCCACACGCATGAGCAGCAACCCAATAATTTGTCGGGCTCTAAGCATTTCATTAATGGAAATGTCTGCAAAATGATGCCAAAGAATTGAATAGAATGGAGTGTAGCTGAGCTGAGCTGAGCTAAGCAGAGCTGAGCCAAAGGGGAGGATCTGCAGCCCCAGCCAAGCGTGTGGTTAGCCAAGGGTTAGACTGCAGCTCCAAGTGGGTTTCCAAGTTGCTTAGTGACATAGACAATGACAGTTATGTGCATTCCAATGAGAGTGGGGGACGAGTCGCAATTGTTTGCGGTTTCGGCTTACGAGTGCATGCCACACAGACATTATTTATCATTCCGTGGCAGAAAAACGCTGCAGAGATGAATCCATTGCATCGGAATCATGGGCATTACGTAAACATCGAAATTGTGGGGAACTGTTTCTGTTTCTGTTGCTGTTGCCTGTTGCCGGTTGCCTGTCCCACCCCCACTTACCGCTGACAATTTTCCCTGGTTTCGTTTTGAGTTTTGCCACTAATGACAATGGAACACTCTGGGGTACTATCTGGCCACAAAGCATGAAGATGGCGTCGGAGATGGAGATGGAGTACGAGTTGGAGTTGGAGTTGGAGCCAGAGTATACCCAGATGGTGCTGGGGACAGACATTCCATTCTACTCGTACTTCTGCCTCAAGTGTTTATTAACTGTTAGAGTTAACTAACTAAGTCGGAGCGAAAACACTTTGGGATGATAATGATGGAAATGGCTATGGCTATGGCATGGTATGGTATGGTTGTGGAGAATGGGAATATGTATGTTCCAAGTTCTTCCAGCTCCAGCTCCATCTCCATCTCCATCTTGATCTCATTTTGGAATTGAATCAATTTTCCGAGTCAACGAAGGCTGAAGAACCCTTTTAGCAGAACCATCTATGGCTGCTCTAGTTCTAGTTCTATTTCTACTTATAGTTCTAGCTCTGTTTCTGTGAGTCATCAATCATGTGATGGAGTTTCTATTAGAGCCAAAAACAGCTCAGTTCACTGCAATTTGTCCATATTTGCTGCACCCAAAGGCGTTGACAGTCCGAACAGTTCCCAGACTCTGCCACTTCCACTTCCACTCCCATTCCCATTGCCATTTCCGCTCCAGTCTTATCCCATTCCCACTCCCATTCCCCATTGCGATTCCCGCTGCACGGCTTGTAACTAAATATGGTAAAACACCAATTGGTGTCGTCAGCTCTGCCATTCTTCACCTTTTGTATCGGATGGAATTGGCACCGTTCTGGGGGGATAGGAGGTGCATACACATGTATTGTTCATTGTGACCCAAATTTATAGAATAGATGGGGACGGACCCTTGAAGAAGACTGAAAGGAAAGAAGCTGAGGCTGTGTGGAGGTGCTTATGGCCATACATATGACATTAGACTTTGCTGAGCAGAGAGAGAGAGAGAGAGGTACGGTGCTCGTAGCATGAGAGACAAAACGCCAAATTAGTTTTCGTGTCCCAAACGTCTCTGAACACGTCTCCGTCTCCCGGCTATCCGTCGAAGAACACAAGC